GGGGGGGAACGGACCAAAAACCACTGTTGTGGGTGGCATACTTAAAAAAAAAAAAATCTATCTATATATGCAGTAAAAAGCCTGCCATGAGAACTGGAAAGTGCTTAAGGTACGCAGTCAAACCACTAAACACAGGGTTACACACAATTAGCCCAAGCAACATGAGCACATGGCTAATTAGCATAACATTACATAAAGGCACTACCCAAGCTATTTTCCCCCAACCATTACAAAATAGTACAATCTATATTTAGCTTCACAACACACATACACAGAACTATAACACAAGACCTTGTCATTTATATTGTCATTTCAGCGAAGTTACACCCCTGATATTTGGTGATTAACCTGGCGAGTCAGGGCCAGTCCTCCTACAGATTCCAGTTACAGCAAGGCAATGTCCCCCCTCTCTGTGTCATCAACGCATGGCCTTTATTTAGGAACAACAAGTGGCGGCACATTTACAGAGCATGTCATTACAGAGCTTAAATTCTGAACTAGATTATTTAGTACTGCATCTACTATACCAAGAAAAAGAGGGAACTACATATCCAGGATGGCAGAGGGGAGTGAAAACTAATAGAGAGAGATGCACTGAAAGACATAGTCAAGGTCAGAGACTGACACTATCAAACTTCCTGCCTACAGTAGCCATGACAGTAGTTTTACTTGTAACAGTAGTAGACCCGTGCTAACAGGAGTCAGTGGAAACTAAAAGCAATTCAAATGGAAAACACACCGACGTCACAAGTCAAAGTACACCAGCACTGTCACTGGAGTAAAGCACTACACAGCAAGGACAGAAAAACCTTTAGAACCCAAAGCAGGCAGGGAAATGTAGGGGAAATAGGGCTGAAATTTAATTATTAACTTTGAAACAATTTTAGAAATGAACAACAAGTGGGTTAGATCTTGTCTAAGCTGATATTTGCTTATTTCTATTATCTCCTGACAGGAGACAACCACAACCACACAGAACTGCAGCACTCGGGGTTGTAAAACTATTAAGTTTATGGTGAACCTTTTCTACTACCTGAAGTAGAATTCTGTTGATATGCAATATCAATCATACTACGCATAATTGCATTGGGTGCTTAGGAAAAATTTGCCTATTGAGCACAGAGAGCTTGCTTCTTTTTAATGGCACATTGCTCAATACAGAGAAATGGCTCTATGCGAGCTTTCAGAAGAAGCAGGCACTGATAAATCACACATGGGCTCCTAACAGAGAACGTACTTCTGCAACATCAAATCAACACAAATTGGCCCGGCAGTGGGAAACTGCAATACTTTCAGTGGAAGTGTCTCGTAATTTTACAGATATCCTTTATACAAATGAATGATTCAGCAGACTGTAAATAAATTATCAGCTGGTTTTGGTTATTTTTATTTTGAAATCAATTTTTTTTTAAAAAGGAAAGAATTCCTGACACCACGCCTCACCTTTTGTCCAGTCCTGTACCTTATCCTCCTTCCTTTTCACACTCTCCGTCTCTCTCTCTCTTCCATCCACTGTTCTTCCCTCTGTGGGTGTGTTCCCTGTGGACAACAAAAGACATTGTTTCTCTGTCAATGATTTATTTAACACAAAAAAGGGTTATTTTATTACACAAAAACCTATAATCCCGGGTTCCCAAATGTACAAATAACAAAACTGTCATCCTTAGTTTTATATCACTTCAAAAGAATCATCAAAAATAGAAACCCTGATGTTGGGACATCTTTTAATTAGTATAGTTTGTGTTGTAGTTTTGTAGTCATCCTGGTTTCCTGCTCAGAGAGTGTTAAGTTAAGCAGCACTGGCCCTGGTGGGTGTGCCATTTAGGCCGCAGGAGAAAGCTACAGGCTTCAGTCTAATCCAATAATGAGATTAGCGCACAGCACTTACCTCCGCTTTACACAGACGGGCACACACAAACAAGACAGATGCATTGATATACAATAGAGTTTGGCACCTCGTTTCCGATTTAATCGCAAATTTAAAAAAAAGTGAAATCTGTAAAATAATTTAAAAAGCATTAAATCACCAGGTTTACTAAAAAAATAAAAAAACATTTAAAATGGTAGATTTTCAGTTAAAGTATGTCACATTTACAGTGAAGCCAAGCCGATAGATCGATAGATATGATAGTTCAGTGACTGCTAACCAGCCACCACCACCTTCCAGTCTTGTGTCCCATGGTTGGACGTATTCCAATGCCATGGTCTTACACTGCAGTTGCTGACTGTAGCGTCCTACTGCGAGCCTGGGCCGCTCTAACCAGAAGCTGCAGCAGAAACTGGTACTGCTCTGCTGTAGCTTTTTGAGACTGCAAACCAAACTGTCTACCTTCCCCAGATGCGGTCCAACACATTGGCGCTGGAGCTTTTCCATACGACGACACACTCCCACTCATTGGAGATGTGACTGGTTCCTTCTCCTTTATTTACTCTTGCCACATATAGGCTATATGGTGTTATTTAATGTATGAAAGCGTGGGCGCACATGCACCCAGCCGCGCTACTACTGAGACCGATTCTGTGGCAAACACTGCTACTGCTGGGAGCAGAATCTGATCTGTATAACATCTTCATGACATGCACACAGTGTTGAGTGTTTTAGAGGCTGGTGTGGAATTACACTAGTCTGAACGGCATGTATTGCTCTTGTACATGACAGAACTTCAAATCCTAAATGTGAGACTTCTCCTGAACTTTTCTTTTCAGCACATTTAAATGAAATCAATTGTCTACGCTAACCTTTTCTAATCAAGTTAACTGACTTATGGATTTTGAGGGGGGTTTTGTGTTTGCTCCCATCTTCACCCACAACCCCTTCCTCTCTGCTCCCACACTTCCCCCCCCCTCCTTCCTTCACTTATTTCTAACCATCAAGTGCTTCAGCAGATGGCTCTAGGTTCAATAACAACAGCAGCAGCGGCGGGGCATGGTGGGGGCCCTCCTGGAGAGCACACATAGACCCTACAGACAGCATCTGTTTATGAATGGGCCAACAATTGCCCATCCCCCCCGACGGCTACAGCTGACAGAGGGAGGAGGCGAGACAAGTCACCAAATCAGAAGGAGATAAAGAAGAACAGGCAGTCAGAAGAAGAGGGAAAGAAAAAGGCAAAAAGTTTAAACAAGATGTTTTATTAACATAGCAAAGACAACACAGACTGCATTCAAAGACTGACACATTACCACAGAAACATTTCCTAAATGTTGTTCATTTTATTTGACCAATAGTCTAGAAACACACGAGCCGAGTGAGGATTTAACAAAAAAAGAAAAACAAACATCTTATTTCTGACTTTAACAAAACTGCAGCATTCTTCAGTTAGATCAGTCTTCCACAACAACTGCTGAGAAAATACCCTAATGTGTCATAAATTGCACCTCTTCCTTACTTCAGCACACTGACCACGTGCTTTCAGTTTCCTTTAATGAGTCTGTTAATGTAAAACTGTAATAAATCAGGACCGTTACAGGAGAACCATCCTCCAGTGTTAGTCAGAAAGTCACGTGTTTTTTTTGTCATTGCTCCATCTTTATAAAGTTAAGCATATGCAAACTACAACTGGAATGATTTTAGGTGTTTGAAGAATTTATTAAACTTTGTTTAATAAAGAAATTACTGGAAGGCTGTGAATAAGCCAGTCTGACTCGTTCTGACTTTAAGGACTTCATACGCTATAATAAAACCACAATGTCAGGATTCTTTTGAGTCTGAAAAGATCAACATTTACTTTGTTTTGTCCACAAGATACACTTTAGAGCTATTTTCATTCTGTGCCACAAACAATTTCAGACAGAAAAAGCTGTAATTTTTACTGTAACGTACACGTCAGCCGACTGCTGAAGCAGGACTGCTCTCTCAAAATATCTGACCTCTAAATATGGTCTTTTTTTGGTTTTTTTCCCTTCAAGTGGATAAGATAAGCTGGAGAGCTCATTCCATTAATAAGCACACACTTCATTTTTTCCATATTGAGAAAAACAAAGGGAGGAAGCCAAGAGATTAAAAAGTAGCAGTCAGATGAAAAGATGTACCAAAGTGCAATAGCTGTAATTCAGTAACTAAAACAGATACACGTTTTATTTAACTACGGAAATGTACACAAGACAGTGGAAGTGGTTTTTTTTAGTTTTTTTTTTTTTTTACTACATGTCCTTATTCAACCTCCATTTCATGAATTTCTCTGTTAACCATAAGAGGAAGTGCTACATTGAGTTGTTTTCAAAGGATGAAAGCCACTTTTACTCCTGTGAGCTTCACAGTAAAGCACAAATTTTGCTGCCACCCACTTGCCCTCACAGTGAACTCCTTCACGCCTGCTATCAAATAAAGCTGTAACACTAAAAATAATCAAACTATATCTGGGTTTTTGAGGAGGAAGAGATCAAAAATTGGATTTTAGCTTTAGACTACTGCATCCTAATATATGGTAGTCGTCATGCAGTGAAGCTGGAGTAGACAGTATTGAGTGCATGTGTAGCCTTAAAACAACAGAGATGAATACGAGCACACACCCACACCCACTTCTCTGTCCCTTAAGAACAAAAGCCAGAAGGTGGTCGCGTGGCTAATTTACATGGACATCATTTGCATCAATTTGCATTAGTATGTTCTCACAGAGGCTCCACACTGGAGGCTCCCTGCAGGAAAACCATCACTCAATTAGGGAATGAAAATGAGCAAGTCTCCATCACAAACAGACCAACTGCAGAGGCTTTGTGAGGGGGGACGGTGTGGCACTTCCAGCCGAGCTGATTTAAATCTGTAGTTTCATGCAGTCAAAATGAGGCCGGGTTCATTTCAGGTCACGGTAACTTGAGAGGAATATGATATTAAATCAAGCTGCTGGTAACGGGAGGGCGAGTTTCATTAAGGGTTGTTTTTCCATTGTAATCAGGCAAATATTTAAGTTTAAAATGAGAAAAACTGAATTATTGCCTTTTTTGGAAATAGGTGAAATCAGTAAAACTGATCATTTCTAACTAACATATTAAGTTAAGGAATTTGGTTAGGAAGTTTTAAAAGCTCAAAGTGAGTCTAAAAATAAAACGAGACCTGCGGTTTTATAAAAACACTGTCTCGTTTCTAATAACCTACAATGCAAGTTATACTAGTGTGACTCAAACTTCACTGATGCAGCTCAACAGCTTGTTTATGTAAAACTGGCTTTGCCACCCTGTCTGAGCCTGCACGCGTCAAATTCATGAAATGCTCCGTTTCGGTCCTTTCGCTCATGACCATTTACAGGTGTGGCTTTATTGCTCAGAGGTCCAATGGTCAACTACCTGAGCTTCCACCACTACAGCAACAATGTAGCAATGTTGCAACCTCATGGGACTTCATAGCTCTGCCATATTAAATTCCAAACATGACAGTCTAAACTTGGCCATTTCAGCAGTGACTCATTTTGAGCGCTCCCGCTTTAACACTTCTTAAACCGCTTGTGAAACTCTTTTAGACAACAGTGAAACATATTTATAGAATAATTTGGATAAGGGACCCAGACAGCCAAAAATAAAGAGAAGCGAGACAGCAGATCCAAAGGAAATAACACTACTCACAACCAATTACACATTGTGTTAAGATTACAAATACAAAAAAGGATAAATGCAGTGAGGTGGACTTATAAATATCCCAGACTTGTATGGGATGTCCGTGTATACAAACTCTCTCAGTCAAGTTATGCTCATACATAACTAAGGGGCTCTAAAGTGAAAGCGCTTCACAGTCTTTATTCAGTCCTTCCTTGAGGGATGTAATCCCTACCGGAGCCTCAAAACTATCAACTGTTCATACTCCTCCTTTCCTTTCTAGAAAGAAAAATCCAACACCAGCTGTAAACTTGATGCTATCGTTCAGGACATCGAAGCAAAACTGCCTTGACAAACCTCAGTTGTCAAGTTAAAAGTTGACACCATTTTAAAGACGCTTAACAGGATCTTCGGTCCATGTAGATTCATTCAAATGAGTTTATATTTAAGTGGATGAATTATTTCCACTTCCATGCCTTCAGTAGGAGTCACTCCCACATACACAGCTGGAAAATATGCTTCACTGCTAGGAAAATGTGAAACATCATCAACGAGCTTTAGCAACCATCTCCAAACAATCCACCTAACAAAGCAATGAGACCATTGTGGAGGGTGGAGAATTTACAGTGTAAATGTAAAACAAGATGCACCCAATCAAGTCTTCAACCTAAAAAAAACAGAAAACATGAAGCACGGCCACTGGGACGCATTGATAAACCAGTGGTGGTCCACAGCTCTATTGTGTGTCTGCATGTAGACCAGCACAATGAGCTGCACAAACACCTCTCCACACACAAAACATCGGGACTCTGGCTTCTCGTTTAGTGATTTTAAAACAGCAAAGCTTACTCAGCACAATGTGGCCTAGACCAACCCAGACCCTCCAATTCAATTCAAACGGAACTGCATGTGCTTGCATAAGCAGGAGCTGCCAATCCAGTGTCCCCCTGACCCACCCACCCATGCACAACCCGCTAATATCCCACCACACAGAGGTAGGACCTGTGTCATCCAAAGAGAAGTGCCTAGAAAGCCGACTAACCGTCACTCTTGCATTTGTACACTGAAACGCTGCTTTCCAAAAGAGAAGAAAAAAATGGGGAAAAAAATGAAAAAGCTAAAAGCACTTGTGTGATGGTCAGTGAACAGAGAGGCATTTACACTCACTTGCTGTGATTCTGTTGACATTATACAAGACGTCGGGCCAGCAGTCTGAACAGACAATGTCTGTTTAGATATACAGGTCCTTTATTTAGTGTCAAGAAACATGCAGGGATGCACGGATGCACTGCAACCGTGAAAACAGCCCAATTCCCGCAATAAGTACACTTAAGAGGCCACACCTCCTAATCTAGTGTCCAGCAGGTGGCAAAAGATCTTACAGCTGCTTTAGCATTAATGCATAGCTGGCTGGAGGACTCATGCCTAATGTTGAACACCTCAAAAACTGTCTGTATGTATTTTTCCAAAACGCCCCTTAAACTTGAAGCAGTCAAACATATTCCTGGATGGAGTAGAGCTTGAATAAGCTCCAGAACTTAAATATCTTGGGGTCATTCTAGACCCAACATTATTTATGTGACTCTTGAAGAATAAAGTGTCCCAGGTACTTAAATTTAATAATCGAAATTTTAATCATATACGTAATAATTTTAATATGAATGTTGCAAAAACGTATTTTTACTCAATGATCATCTCTCATATGGACTATTGTTTGACGTCCTGGTCACTTGCTTATCCAACAACACTTAAAACTATTGAAAACATTTATAAAAGAAGTTTAAAACTACTTGACAAAAAACCGACTTCCCACCACCACTGTCATGTGTTAAAAAAAAAACATAAATTACTGAACTTCAATAACTTAGTGAAACTTAAAAGAGTGAGTTTAATATATAAAGTCTTACACTCCCTTGCTCCACCACCACTAAAGCAGTTCATTAGGCATAAAGAAAGCTCAGGCAGGACCAGTTGAGCTACAATCCAAGGAGACTTGTTTATACCCCACAGACAGACAGCATTTGGGCAGAACGTCCTCTCTGTTAAGGGAGGCCATCTGTGGAACAGTCTTCCTCAACCCATTAGAGAATGCTCGACATTCAATTTGTTTAAGGCAAAGGTTAAAAACTGGTTATGGACAAATCAAGTGTGTGATCATGTATGAGTTGTATAGTTTTAATGTTTTATTTGGGAACAGAAAGGTGTGTATGTGTAAGTTTGGTGATGGGAGTTTTTATTATGAATGAATGATGAATTTTTATGAATTATGTCTATTTTTTTATGTTTAAGGACAACAGATGGAAATTAGCCTTTGGCTATAATCTGGCATGTTTACATTCATGTAATTTTTTTTTT